TATTAGAGTTCTAAACAAAAATAGACAGTACATGTTCGTTTACATCATATGTCGTGGGGATAGTTTTCTTTTTTTATGAAATGATGATACCATTATTTACTGAATTTTGCATATACGTATGGCTGCATCAGTATTTCTAATTGTGATAAATCTTGACCTTAGAAGATAAAAGGACTCTTCCAAGCTCTTTGCGACAGTCAAAAATTTTCGGACTTTGCGGTCACCGGTTGACTTGCATTTAGAAATCCGGAATATATCGTCTATACAGTTAATGACGAACGTGTTTTAGAGAAGTAGAGCCAATTATCCTCCAAATCCCTTAGAAAATGAACGGCAGAGATCCTTTTCCGTGACTGACACGAAATCCCCCAATAATTATGATGGAGAGTCCGATAAAGAAGATACACTAAATTCTGCCAATCAAATTTATCCTCTGTCTTGAAACATTTAGATGTCGCATTGAATTAGATTTCGAAGAAAGATTTATGCGATTCATGTGTCTTATTAATTATTTTTACGGAAATCGTATTGAAATCCCCGGTTGAACAAGTTTCCTTTGGTAGCCCTAGAAGCAAGTGTTCGAAATAATATCACTTGTTAGAAGGTTCTTTTGATTGGTAGTCATAGTTATGAGTAGACAAGGTCAACGTGAGCCACACTAGCAAAAAATGAAGGGATCTTGGAGTGAAACGTATAGATGAAGCGATAATCGGCCAAAAACAAAAGAAATCATGTAGCTTTCTGATTATGAGAAGTTTCATGCGACTCTTGTCTGCTTTTTCTCAAAATTTCGGTGCCGTCAAGAAAGAAGAACCCCTACTTAGAAGAGAGAGTCGAACATCAACAGCGCAGAATTCTCCGGATGATCTATATGTTTTGCTGCGTCTGTGATAGGTCTAAAACCCCAGCTATAGTCTAGAAATTCATCATTTCCCTGCATATTTATTATTATTTTGTAATTAAAATAATTAGGTTGATTATCACTGACACTATGAAGCAAGCCAGATTCCGCTTAATGCGGGAGACCATTCGGCTTCCCGATCTAACGAAGAAAATCTTAACCGGAAAATCGCGTGCCAAAATTTAGCATTTATGAGCTTGGTAATAGCATTGCGATGTACCAAACTTCAAACTAGAATTAACTGTCTTGTTTTGTCGGGATAACGTATAGGTTTTCTCCAATCCTTGATTAGCATTGAGAGCAATCATTATTATGATCTCTCGAGCGAATTATCTAAAACCCGTCATCCCCCAAATTATCGCGTGTGGAACCCAAGATCCTTCATTCGTTTCTCAGAAAGAAGTTCTCTTGGGGGATTGTGCACGTTTAAAAAAGAAATAATTTGTACAATTAATAATAATCATTAATCTTCGGAATTTTAATGAATTTCATATGAAATATTAATAATCTGCTGTCATCTGGGAGTCGGCTATTTATTAAGATGTTATAATATTTAAAATTTGACATCTTCTGCATGTTTAAATTATTACCCAACTTCCTAGAAAGTGTTCATACCTTATGTAGAATGTCAACTTAAAAAGTTAAAAGATGGAAATGAATTCCACTTGTTAATTTTTTCTTCGCTTTTTAGCTCACCTCAACGAAGTTGGGGGAGCTTATGTAATACCCTCGGTAAAATAGCGTCGGTGTCGGTGTCGGTGTCGGCGTCCCAGGTTAAGTTTTTTGGAGCAGTTTTCTTTTTAAGTACTTCTATGTCCTATATTGATTAGACATGCATGGAAGATGCTTCTAGTGTGTTTCATTGTACCAGTCAAAGTTTCAGATGCTGTAATTTCAGCAAAGGAATGACCAGATTAATGTTTTTGGAGCAGGTTAACATTTTTGGTGCACTTTTTGGTGTAGGTCTCATTTCCAAGGAATTATAAGCCCTATGTTGACCAAACTTGCATGGATGATACATCTGAGGATGCACACTACCGGGCTTGCTTCGGATGCTGAATCTGACCTACATTTTCCGGTTGAGTGAACAGGTTAAAGTTTTTGGTGCATATTTCATTTCCAAGTAACTATAAGCCCTATGTTGACCAAACTTGCATGGATGATACATCTAAGGATGCATACTACCAGGCTTGCTTCGGATGCTGAATCTGACCTACATTTTCTGGTTGAGTGAACTTGTTAAAGTTTTTGGTGCAGGTTTCATTTCCAAGTAACTATGAGCCCTATGTTGTCCAAACTTGCATGGATGATACATCTAAGGATGCATACTACCAGGCTTGCTTCGGTTGTTGAATCTGACCTACATTTTCTGGTTGAGTGAACAGGTTAAAGTTTTTGGTGCAGGTTTCATTTCCAAGTAACTATAAGCCCTATATTGACCAAACTTGCATGGATGATACATCTAAGGATGCATACTACCAGGCTTGCTTCGGATGCTGAATCTGACCTACGTTTTCCGGTTGAGTAAACAGGTTAAAGTTTTTGGTGCAGGTCTCATTTCTAATATACTATGAGCCCTATAATAACTTAACTTGCATGGATGATACGTCTAAGGATGCATACTACCAGGCTTGCTTTAGATGCTGAATCTGACCTACATTTTCTGGTTGAGCGAACATGTTAAAGTTTTTGGTGCATTATTCATTTCCAAGTAACTATAAGCCCTATGTTGACCAAACTTGCATGGATGATACATCTAAGGATGCATACTACCAGGCTTGCTTCGGATGCTGAATCTGAGCTACGTTTTCCGGTTGAGTAAACAGGTTAAAGTTTTTGGTGCAGGTCTCATTTCTAATATACTATGAGCCCTATAATGACTTAACTTGCATGGATGATATGTCTAAGGATGCATACTACCAGGCTTGCTTCAGATGCTGAATCTGACCTACGTTTTCTGGTTGAGTGAACAGGTTAAAGTTTTTGGTGCATTATTCATTTCCAAGTAACTATGAGTTCTTTAATGACCAAACTTGCATGGATGATATATCTTAGGATGCACACTAATGGACTTGCTTCGGATGCTGAAGAGAGAGACATTTTTCAGATAAGAGAGAGAGAAGAGTTATGGGTGCAGGTCTATTACCAAAAAGCTATAAGGCTTATATATAACATTGTATAAACCAAACTTGCACAAATGATGCATCAAGGGATGAAAACTCTCAAATTTGCTTCAGATGCTGGATTTTAATTACATTTTCATGAAGAACTAGTTTGAATTTTTTATATTATAGGTCTATTTCAAAGTATCAGACCAAAATTGCATGAATATTTTCATTTTTGGAATGTACACTTTTTGTTGGTTAATTATGTGACTTTGCCTTATTTAAAGACAACATTCGTTGAGGTGAGCTCTGTAATCTCTGATTACCTATGTTTTTTTTTATCCCCAAGCAAACTTTTCGTAAAATAGCGTTTTGTCGCTGTGCGGACATCCTTCAATCGATTTTGTGCGCAATGTTTATCTTGATTATCTTTACAATGGATACAGAGCCTTAATTATCTTCAATCCCACTGTATCAAACTGTAATTAGAATTTATTTAACTACGCTTAAATGACCCTTAATACGACAGCACCGCTTCGATAGCGGCAAATTTGCATTTAAGTAGCGAATGGATCGAGAGAAGTAGCAATTTTCCAGAAACCATTGCTGTAATTTTTTCGATCTTTATCAAGTGAATGCGCAACCCCTTGAATCAATATTTATTTTATTTCCTGCAAGAAATGAATTTTATTAATGCAATGAAAAGTAATGGCTCTCCGTTTGCTTTTTTACTGCCACTTCGACGAGAATGTATAATTGAATCTTCAATATGTTTTCTTGTATTTTATTTATAGCAGTGGAACAAAGAGTTATAACAGTAGAACAATAGGGCACACTTAAATGATGACCATATTTCACCCCTTGTTATAAACTATCTAGAATTTTGCTGTTTTGGATTGTGTGTGTTTCCCGTGCCCGAGACAGCTTTCATTCGTTTTTACCTGTTTTTTACGTAGATGACACAAGCACCTGTCTTTCGGTAATTAGCTTCATCCCCCCAGGCTCGCATCAGCAGCAGGTATTTCGCTGTGACAATCTCTCTTTAAATAATTCGGGCTTTTTCCTAGTTACACGAGTCCAATATCGCCGGGAGGCTATCGACGATATCCATTAAATAGCTATATGGCAGCGTTTTTGTATCAATGATGCATTTTCTATAATTTATCATCGTCATTTAAGGCTGCAAGCAAAAACATTTCATACTTTATGACTCAAATCAGGGGAGAGAGAGAGAGAAAGAGAGAGAGAGAGAGAGGCTGGGTTTGCATTTCAAAAGAAAATCCTCATTATATATGTCCGGGCCACCTACAGCTCAAATAAAAATATGCTGATTTATTTCCGCGATAAAACTTTGAAAAGAATCAAATTTGAGATTAAAATTACGTTTTTTGCTCTGTGGTATACATCAGTTTAGAAGATTACATAGGCATAAAGTGTCTGTGTAAATTTATGAGAACATCTAATTGAGGCGGAATGTTGGGGACCCTCTGCACCGTTATTTCGGATTCAACTATTGCTTTGAGAACTTTTTTAACCCCCTTCAAGTTCTCATGATTTACGAAAATATTCATATATTTATAGAGATAAAGGAATATTTAGCTCTGTTAAAGCTGCTTCGGCAACAGATTGAAGCATGATTTTGGTTGAACAAGTGCAATTTAAGACGTGGCAGTTTAGACATCCAAAGGGTTTTATGTTGCTGTCATACGAAAATAAATGTGAAGTTGGTTATACAGCGATACCCCTCAATATTAAACAGATTATAATTTTTTGTAGATCAAGTGTGCCTACACTTTTAAGCTCAAGTACTTTTTTTGTTGTGTTGGTGGTTGGGAACAAATGAAGATTGTCCATATACCGTTTGACTATAATGTATTTGTTAGTGTCCTTGTTACATCGAAGAAAAAAAACCTCAATGCATGATTTGCTTTTATTTGAATGCTTTTGAGTACACTATTTATGCATGTTTTCAGGTTTTTCTATCTCTATTGCAGGGGTTGAGTGACGTGAGGGGCAGTTAATGTTACGTCCTGGCGACTGGGGTCTGGGGTTTGTTCGCTGGTCCGTCAACTTGACCCAGGTGTAGGCGTCAGTGGTCAGTTCACAATTTACGACCATCTCTTCTGTTGGTGTAAGGTAATGTCTCCTGCGAATTCCTTGTCCTGATATTTTTTCCATGAAAGGATCGTTCTAAAATTCATCATTTACTCACCCTAACCCCAGTGTGCAGTGTGTACAAAGAATTGAGAACGAAACAGAGTTCAATATCACATGAGTTACAAAACTTCTAGTATTATATACTTTGAATATTTTCTGCTCTTGATTGAAATGAGTCAGGTTTACATAATTTCGTGCCAAGAGAATTTAATGTTATATGTGGTGACGTGACCGTCAACAGGGGATGCTTTCACCTTCTAGGCATCTAATCCCACCTCTGGAGTTTCTGCCATTTCACAGATTTTTGAGATCGATCGTTGTTCATTATTTTCTTTTTTTCACTCTTTATGATATAAAAACCGATTTCTGTCCAACTACTCAGTATGTCTGGTCATCATTGCCATCTTCATAAGTGTCATTTCTTATACATGTCCGCCACTGAGGTCCGCCTGGTCATTTGTAACATTTATACATCATAATTTTTCAATAATATGACAGATGGGAGTCAATTTGTCACAACGAAAATGGACAAGCACCGGCAATAGTTACACGTCGTGGTGGTCATTTCTCGACTCTGTGTCGCCTGCAATATGACTCGGCCCTTGTATTTCGGGAATCTGTGTGTTTATAGTACACTTTAATGGGTGACCACAACTATCTTTGTTAGTAGAAATAACCAACTTTTATAACATAGTTATTTGCTAGTTTGTGTGGTCTTGTAATGGCATATCAGCGAAAAAATTCTCTTCTAGGCTTTATATTTTCCCTTGAGACGCTCTGCAAAATTTAAAAAAAAAATAATTATAAAGCAGTATACTTTCAGCAATCTTGCATGTGGCTAGTGCCTTATTACTTTAAAAAATCTCAACAAAAACAATAAAGGTCAGTTCTTTTTTATAATTCAGAGATATCACGTGAGTTTACGACTTCGGATGACCAGCAATCTCTGACACCCAAATGATGTATATGATGACCTCGGTGTCACGGTCACGCAGACTCTTGTCACCATAGGAAACATTTAACATGTAGACCACTTAGATTTTTTGGGGTGACCGAGGCATCCTGGAATGGAACCACCTGCGAGCATTATATGAATTTTTTTATTCTATAATTTTTTTTTGCAACGTGTTGATAATGTTTCAAACAGATTGTTTCCATACAATTACTTTCTTAAAGTGTGTATTTTACGTGTGAAGTACTAGTGCAAAATAAATGATTAAGAATATTTCCACTTCTTACGCAAAAGTAGTCCCTATTTTTCATTTGAAAAAAAAAGGTTACTAGTATTTTAATTTTTTCGGAGGTGGGGTGTTATTTTTACGTAAATGATACATGTTGGAGATCGTTTGAATTTCTGTGCTCCTTTTGGGTAAAAAGCAGCAAATATACATCTGCTGAGCTTTTCATTTTTTGATCGTATCCCTAATAGAAATACTTGCTTAAGGTGTCCAATAGTGTTGCATACCTGTACAGAGGGCGTTCGTGTTGAGATGTAGCATATAGAGCAGACCACACAGTCACTCGTTACTGCTGAGTGACGAGTTATTATGGCATATTACTGCCTTATGTGACCACATCAGGATCCTTCTCGTAACATTGTGTTTTGTGGGACACTGATTGAAGGGAAAGAACGCACAAAACAGAATATACTCTTTTACAACTGTAAACAAATATAGATCACCTATATTTATTTACGACCAAACCATGCCTCGTCAGATGTTTAAATCCATTGCATTATATATAGCACATTGTATCTATTTTTGAATTGATTTATAATTTTATTTTCTGAAAAATATACTTTAAAAACATAATACATATAAAATTTTTTATATCTATTTCCAAAGCCTACCAAGCATGGGTCGCATTAATTGTATTGTTGAATATCTTGGCAAAATTGGACCCCCTCCTTAAACAATATTCATCATTATGTGATCTTTACGAAATACCATTTTATAAATTAAGAAATGTTCAAAATGTCAAATGAATGCAAACGTTAATTTAACAACATATAATTATGTTATTGACCGTATTGAAGTATACAGCCAATTTCAAATTCTGGTAGGCGTAGAATCAATTTTAGTATTTGACCAATACAGTAAAACTCGGTTATAAAGAACTCGTTTATAAGAAAACCTTGGTTGTACGGAAATTCTTAATAATTCCATCGTTAACTTTCCACTATAAGGATATAAAGAATGTAAATTATAAGGAAGCTAAGTTTGATGTCCTAGGGACTTTTTTGTCCCCCGCTTTCGCGAAAGCGAGGGGACATTAAATCTCATTCGTCTGTCCGTCTGTCAGTCTGTCCGTCACAAAAACTTTAACCTTGCCCATAACTTTTGATTTAGTGGAGCTATGACTTTCATATTTTACGTGTGTATTCCTTGTGACAAGACCTTTCTTTGAGTACCACCAAATTTGACATTTTGACGTTGACCTTGGAGTTTGACCCACTTTTACACAAAAATTCCGAACTTTTACTTTGGCCATAACTTTTGATTGGTAGGAACTAGGACTTTCATATTTCACATATGTATTCTTTGTGGCAAGACCTTTCATTGGATACCAACAACTTTACCCTGACCTTTGAGATTTACGTACTTATGAAAAAAACTTTAACCTTGACCATAACTTTTGAACGGTGAGGGCTAGGGCTTTTGTACTTCACATATGTAATCCTTGTGAGAAGACATTTCATTGGATACCAAATACTTTTACCCTTTGACCTTGACCTTGGAGTTTTAACTACTTTCAAAAAACTTTAACTTTGGTCACAACTTTTGAACGGTAGATACTAGGACTTTCATATTTCACATATATATTCTTTGTAGTAAGACCTTTAATTGGATATCAACAACCTTGACCTCTTGACCTTGACCTTAAAGATTTACGTACTTATGAAAAAACTTTAACCTTGACCATAACTTTTGAATGGTAAGGGCTAGGGATTTCATACTTCACATATGTAATCCTTGTGAGAAGACCTTTCATAGGATATCAACAATGACCCTTTGATCTTGAACTTGGAGTTGACGTACTTTTAAAAAACTTTAACTTTGGCCATAACTTTTTAACGGTCAGGATTAGGGTTTTCATCCTTCAAAAAAATCAACTTCAATGATAATTTCTAAATAAATGACATATGATAGGACGTTCATATTAGACACAATATGTCATAAAAAATAACATCTCACCCACAAAGACACCGAAAGCGGGGGACCACAATTCTTTGAATTTGCTTGTTTTTCTTACAACCGAGATTTAATGGATATTCATTTTCTGGTCAGCATGTACTCTTCATATTTTGAATATGAAATTAATTGTAATTGGTGGATTTTTCTATAAGATATATATAAGGGGTGGATGTCTTAACCAATTAAATCTGATGCACTTAATCGGAAAAAAATATACTAAATGATATAATTAATATCAAGCAATTCGGCAAAAATCTGATTTTACAAAAATCGTGCATTTATAAAATTTCTGTGTTTATTTTTCAAAGCTCGCATATAAGTCTACTAGTTTTTTGACTAAAAATTGATATGTTACACAAAAGATATAGTTCAACTATTGCTGCAAGGTTCACTTAATATCGTATTACAGTTTAAATGTACCGTTTTATCATGTCTGTTGTCTCATCGATTGTCTACTTTCCCCTTGAATATACCAATAAGTGTACAATACCCGGTGAGACTGAAGTAGGGGGGACTTCTCTTGTTTCTTTGCTTAATTGGCAGGGGGAGGAGATGATGTTCATTTCTTCAATAAATAATTAATAACGATTTGATATGATAAGCCTATCAGATAAAAATCTATTTTAGATTTAAAAGGTTGCTCAGAAAGAGGTAGAATGGAAATCAATTTTGTTAGCATTAATAACGTCGCCGGCCTGACGATGTGTACACTCTTGTCGATTGTTATCTGTGGGTTTTGATCCTGTTCGGTTTTTATGGGGATGGCTTCAGGGAGCAGGATGTCCCAGATAGCGGTCCAATTGGAGGTCTGCAGACTGAGACTGTCTGTAATTGCTTCTAAACAGTACACATCTAGATTCACCGAGGTAGAAATGTTACACGGTATTTCACAACAGATGAAGCTTAAAGGTTTCTTTTGCCTTTGATTCTTAAGTCATCAATAATATGGCTATTTATTTTATCAATAATAAAAGAACATTCCCTCAAAGTATATTCTAACATAAAAAATGGAAGTTCGTACTTTTCTAATACTAGTATGTGTTTTAGCTCTACTGGTCAGAGACAGTCTGCTTGGCTGTCTATCTGTCTGTCCGTCTGTAAAATTATTTTCTAAACACTATACGGCTCTTACTGATTTGATCTGATAGCAGTATAACTTGGCGCACAAGAAGACTACATTTGTACTACGAAAAACACAATTTTCTATATTTTAGTTTTGCTTTCGTGGTGATTGGCGTCGCCATGGTAACCGAAAATAGAATTTTTATTGAAATACTTTCTTTTACAGTTTTGGTCTGATTGAACAGTGTTGTCATGCTTTTTAAAATTACAAATTCTTTCAAGGTTAAAAGTACCCATAGTAACCTTTGTTAAAATTGCCTTTCTAAGATTGTGATATTATGTAAGGGGTATACAGTCTATTACCATACTAGTGCAAAATCTGAACATGTAGAATAATTTAATCCTTGCATTTAAGGTCAAGGCCACGATATCATGCACCGTTCTTTCTTACTAAGGCGAGAGGAAGACATATATTGTACATATACATTTGCTTGTATGAGTAATATTTGAAGCTGGGTTTGAAAGTATATACAACTTACAAGTCGTCCTCATATTGTAAATGATGCTACTATGTACTTTGTTCTAAGCGAAACGTTCTTTAAATAATAAGTCGAAAAAAGAAATGTATAATAAAGTCCTATTTATTTGGTATTTTAGCACCATCCAGAACACCCTTACTCATTGGAAGATGGGGAAAAAGCACCTGTTAAAAACAACTTTAAAAAATCGTCATTCCAGACGATAAACCTAGTATTTTCTGTGTTTGTCATTGTGATTTTTATTCTCTCTCTAAAGTTCATCCCTTGTGTCTATCCATTACAACTGTGGCAGATAACATTATAAAGTGTTCTTGCACGGGCGGTATGATAATTGTGCATTGTTGAGGAAAATGTTTTTCTTTTTTACTATCACGTAAGACCTTGCGAATCTGCAGAATTGTCAAGGCGCCATGTGTATTTCTTCCTTGCATCCCGTAAAGTGACATGCATTGAGTGCGATCTCGTTCGTCCTTAGTCTAATCTAGTGCTGAAGTACAATACCAGTGTAGCATTGATGCTACTTAGTGAAATATGCACAAATGGATTACGTCTTAATTAGTTCACTTAGAATACGTTGATTCTACTTAAGCTATGATTAGGAAAAGCTGCCCTTGCATCAGTAGACACAATACAGGCAATTGTTAATAGCGGTTTGGTTTCTCTTGTAATCGTCTTGATCCAAGTGTAGTTTCATATCTTTGGTCAAGGGAGAATACGGAAAATAATTATCATTAAAGGGTCTCCAAACCATGATGAAATTTATTTAAAAATAAGTACATTTAGAATTTCTAAAATTCAGACGCAAGCAAAAGAGCGAATGGAACTATTGGTCAGATGTATCTTTTTATATTTGTCGGATTTCAAACGGACTGTATATATATATTCATAGTTATCTTATACATATTTGTCTTTTGTCTTGAACATTAAAGTCACTCAAAACCGCTAAAATGTCGAAGTATATTATCGGGAGGATGATAAATCGGAGGACATGGTTAAGTTGATGTTCAGGACATAATTTTTACTTTTTTGACAGATTTTAATATTCATCACCCTTTTAAAGCCCTGCTTTCATGAATATTGAAGAGGGTTATTCATTACACACTTTGATGAATTGCATTTTTGTCTTATGCATTGTAATTAGTATTCATTTCAAGGTCATTAATTAACATGAATCTGTAAATTCTATGTTAAGATGAAATCGACGGTTTCTGTGAAAAGTACACCAAT